TCTATAAATGCCCTTTGCCTCCTAGCTCTTTCCTCTATTTCCTTTGACTTTCCTCTTGTCCCACTACCATGCTCAGCCTTCATTTGGGTTTCAGTAATTCCCCTTGGTTACATTACCCTTGATCACGCCCTACCAGGCCTCCTACAACCTACTCACCACCGATAGGGATCACTTGTTCCCTTGTCCCTGGGTTTGTTAACACCACTTCCTTTTCCCCCACCTCCCCCTCTCCCATGTCCCCCTCGAACTGTCAGTCCTGTTATTTTCTCCTCCAGATTGTTCATCCAACCTATCTTATTTAGACAGACCTGCAGAGGTAATAACATGCACAAAAAGAAGACAGACTAAAACCAAGCAACAAAAGAAAACAGAACAACAAAAAGCCGCTGACCAAAGGCGCACGCGTGCACACATACACACACATACACACACACAACAGCAACAAAAAAGAAAAGCCTCTAGTTAGTTCAAGGACTGTTTGTTGGCCTTCCCGCAATGGTTTTATTGGCATGTCATGCAATTCACATATCATACAATTCAATAGTTCAGTCCCTTCAGGAAGAGTTGTACAATCGTCACCACAATCAGCTTTAGAACGTTTTCTTTATTCCAGTACTCATCATCATCATTAGCTCCCCATTTCCCCCCAACCTCCCCTGCAATACCCCCAAGGAACCATGAATCCTGCTACTCCCTACGTAGATATCCATATCCTGGATTTCATCTACAGAAACACATTCAAAACAAAGCACAAAAAATTAACAACCATAACAAAGTAAAACAGAAAAAAACCTTAATGGAAGCAAAAGCAGGAAATATTTTAAAGTAGGACAAATTTAAATGGTTTATAAGGGAAATAAAATAATAGGGTGTTAACTTTGAACCTAACTGCATCTGCAACCATTTACTTTGCAATTCATTCGGTATGATAGCAAGGCTCTTCACATCCCTGGTCCACAGTCAGAGGGGATTTGCCATGCACTTACTTCACATGTATTTCCCCTTCACTTTGTTTTTTAAACTGTCTGACTTGAAAATGGGCCAAACGAGAGATCATTGGATAAGATTTCCCATTCTCACTCCACTACCAGACGTGCACTTTCCCCTCGCTGACCAGCCCCGTGTGTCACAGTGCTCCAGAGCCACAGCAAGCCCTTCTGGTGAGGGTTTCATTGGACAGGCAGCAAGGAAGAGGGCGAGTGAAAGGGTGAATGGCCACAGCCCTGCCTGCCTATTTGGAAATATTTCTTTAGCCCTTATTTGTAGCAGGCTCAGCTCATGCTAGCCCTTCATCTAGAGCACATACCAGAAAAGCCCATTTTCTAGACTGAAGCACCTTGTATTCTCACATATTCCCTCATGCACACCTAACTCGACTCTCTCAACTCACTGCCGTCGATCTCATTGCTTCTGACTCACAGCTGCCTCTGAGGAGTTCTTTTTCTTCAGTCGTTTGAAGTGAACTTGTATGTCACTAGAGGCTCCACGTCTCTCCTTGTGGCAGCCACCCAGACCAGTGGTTCGCTTTGAAGGCTAAGGTCTGGAAGGCCAGGCCCCCAGGAGTGTGGGTCTCTCTTTATTATGTCTCCCTGCCCTCCTTATTCCCCTCTATACTTTCCTATCCCTCCCCTCTCCCCATCCTTGCCACTGTCCCTGGCCTCCTCGTAGTCTTCAAAAGCTTATCTTTTGGTGTAAACAATACGTTTTCTTTATAATAATTGTATCATTAAATATCTTTTTAAGATTGACTGACTTTGTGAAGCATAATGTGCTCTAGTTTTGTCCATGTCTGGTGGTATTTAAGACAGTTTTCTTTATCTTTACTGAGGCATAATATGGCATACTATGAATGTATCACAGTTTGTTTATCCATTCCTCTCTAATCAGAGGTTTGGGTTGCTTACATGTTTTTGCTTTTATGAGCAGTACAGCTGTCCTGTGGGTTGCTGATGCTGGAAATCTTTATGGAAGGAGGATGCTTTCTCTTTCTTTCTCTGTCAGAGTGGCTAGTAGTTTTGAACTGCTGACTTTGTGGTTAGCAGCCTGCTTGTGATCCATTATGCCATGTTTATTGAACTAGAACACATATAGACTAAAGTGCACAAGTCATAACTGGCTTGCTTGGTAGATTTCTATTATTTATCGTTACGTAAGCCCCACGCAGATCAATCAATATAAATAACCTTCCCAGCATCCCACTTTTCCTTGTCCATCAATGCCCTCTCCCAAAGGGAACCATTCATCTTGTCTTTATCACCATAGTTTAGTTTTACTTCTTCTTTGACTTCATCTAAATGGAATAGCTGCTTTGTAGACCCTCACTCAGTGTGTGTTGACTTCTCTCACTCAGCAATGAGATTCATCTGCGTTAGTGTGTAGAGTAGTCAGGGTCTGTCTCCTGTGTTCTCCTTTTACTTCTCACAGACCTGGGATAAACACCGTTCTGAGAAATGGAGCACGGTGCTGAAAGGAGACTTGCCCTTTTGTCACCCAACAAGGGTTTTCCTCACAAAAGTCACCCCTTTGGTTCCATGGGAAGCTTGCCTGGGCCTTGCGCTCCCTGGCACCCAGTGCTTGAAAAGGAATCTCGTGGGGACTTGTATGTTTGCCGTGGATACTGCAGGCATCAAAGAATTTTCTTGAGCTCTCTTCATTTTGAGCTGCTGGAAGAAGCGAGTAAGAGGGGGCTACTTTCTGAAAGGATGTTTTTAGGCAAAAGCGGAGGGAAACAAAAGAATTCAAGTCCTTTTGAGGAACTGGTGCCCAGAAACCAGCCGTCTGACTAGAGGTGGACATGGTTCTCCGGGTCCTTCTCCCCTAGCAGCCTGGAGTCAGAAGACTCCCAGCAGCCCTGTCTCACTGCAGACTAGCAAAACACAGTGCATTCAGGCCACCTGGGAGTGCCTCCCTCCTGCTGCACCCCCACCCCACGCCCACCCCAGGTATGTGGGTGGGGTTTCCTGTCAAAGCTAGCAGGGCTTTCAGGATGAAAACATTCCCCCAATGAGAAACCTGTGAGTTGGGAGTAAAGCTGAAGCTTTTCCATGGCATCTTAAATGAAGATGAAAGGAACCAGTTCTTCTGGCAAGTGTAGTCATGCAGGTAAGTCAGGATCAGGCCTTAGAATGGAAACTATGCAGCCAACTCTAGTGGTTGCTTGGCGTCTCTTTCCCTTAGCTATCTGTGGGTTCTGTGCTGGAATTTTCTGCCAAGTGGTTTTGACTGGGCAGCTGGAAGTCACTGTGAAAGGACTGATTTGGAAAGTGAGATCATCCTCAGGCACTTTCCTGCAAGTCCAGCATCTACACATGTATGGCTGTGGCCACAGGGAATTATGTGAATGGACAGCCTAAACCCATTGCCCCTAATGTGGGATAATGCAGCTTGCTTGAACTCTGTGCGGCTTTTTTCTCCTGCAAACAGTCTTGGAAACTCACAGGAGCAGTTCTCCTGTGTCCTATAGGTTCGCTAGGAGTCACTATTGACTCGATGGCAGTGAGTTTGGTTTTTGGTTTATGGCTACAAAGACAGAGTTTTGAAAGTGAGAGCTTGTATCAGCAGCTAGTCAAAGTGTTACCATTCTCATCTCTAAGGAATGTTCTAGTTCTATTTTTTCTAAAACCCATGTGTTCCTCCTATGGTAATCCACAAACTCAAACAAATTACACTAAAACTCAAAACTCCCTGCCATTGAGCCAATGCTGACTCATAGAGACCCCCGTGGGCTTCCCAGACTGGGAATAGAAAGCCCAGTCTTTCTCCTGGGGAGCTGTGGTGGTTTGAATCTATGGACCCTGTAGATCGCAGCCCAAGGTGAAACCATCCCACCACCGGGGCTCCAGTATATTCAGTATTCCTTGTGATTCTAAAATGGCTTCAGGGTATACATATTTCTTAAAGGTACCTTAATTATTAGTTGAGTCGAGAGAAATGGATAGCATTGAGACTTTAAAAAATTTTTTAAGATTACATTCATTATTCTTCTAACTAAATCTACATTTTCCAGTGTTTTCCCCAACCCTTCATTCCAAGTTTTAAAAGTGCAGATTCTTAAATTATTTATATTGGAGCTTAGATTCCTTGAGGGTCTGGCAAGTTTTTTAAATATTGGATAAGCTGATATAAAATATTGCCACTAGCCAACCTCAGGTTGCCAACCCAAATATAAAGTCCTCCTTGTTGAGATTACGAATTTATAGCATAAACTGTTTTAAATTATACCAAGAAGTGAGCAGAATTATGGTACTGTTGAGCAAACCCTTGCACATAAGAAATAAGGTCATACTATGATCTAATTTGTTAAATATGTGCTATATAATGAAAAATTTTCTCGATCATTTCAGACCAAACAAAGAGAAAACTGGGCACACAAGTGATGTGGGAGCATCTGTTATCAGACATGGACTCAATCCAGAGAAGACTTTCATGCAGGTTCACTATTTAAAGGTAAGCAAGTCAAAGTGGCAGAAGTTAATGTTGTATGGTTCTCTTTAGGTTATACAGATGAAGTTACAAAGTATATATATGAACTAGGGTCCCAATTCATACATGCATAGGTTTATTTTAAACATGTCTCTGTGACTTGAAATGGCTTCAGATAAATACTCTCAATAATACATTTGTCTCAGTCTCATTTAAAAAACAAAGCAAAGATTCACTGCCACCAAGTCAATTCCAAATCGTAAGAGCTGTATGAACGAGATTAGAGCTGCTCTCCAGGGTTTTGGAGGCTCTAAATTTTTATAGGAACAGACTACCTCACTAAGATAGTTAAAGTTTCTTGTGCCGACCTGGCCAATAAACACATGTGGGGTTAATTGAAGGGCGGTGGAAGGACAAATGGCTCAGTGAGCCTCGCCTTTCGAGTTCTTGGGTCTCTTGCTCTCTGATGGTCGGACCAGGGTGCAGCTGCCTTAGCCAGTTTCCTGCTTCAGCTGGCAAGGCTCACTTCCTGCAAGACATCCCCG